TATATATATATATATATGTGGGTGTGTGTGTGTGTGTGTGTGTGTGTGTGTGTGTGTGTGATTGCCAATTTTCTACATTTTACCATGAAAGAAGACATGGATGTGTCTGCCCAAATAGATGAATTTCAAGTGCTTGTGGGGGAACTAGCAAAGGAAGGCATGATACTACCAGATGAATTTATTGTCATTTCTCTTATAGAGAAATTGCCACATACATGGAATGATTTCAAAATAAATATGAAAAACAAGAGAAATGACATTATTTTGGACTAACTAGTGGTTTGAATCAAAATAGAAGAAAAGAATAGAAAGAAAGATGAAGATGAGAAAAATCAGATTTCCAAAACCAATATGGTAGATGAAATGACTACAAATTTAAAAAATAATCTGAATGTGAAAAATGATCAGAAATTCAATAAGCAACAAAAGAAAGGAAATGGTATGTATATGGCAAACTTGGGCATTACAAAAAAGGCAATCGTTACCGAAAAAAGAAAGACTTTGAAAAACCAAAGGTCAACTTAACTGAAGATGTCATTGTAGCAATGGTTTTCGAGGAAAACTTGGTAGATAAATCGAAAAAGTGGGTATTGGATACTGGTGCTACCAAGCACATATGTGGAGACCATGACTCTTTTTACAAGTACACAACTCAGACCGAAGGAGATCAAGTCTTTAAGGGAAATTCACAAACTTCAAAGGTCTTTGGCAAAGGAAAGGTGCTCTTGAAACTAACTTCAAGAAAGATCCTAGTGCTGAATGATGTAATGCATGTGCTAGAAATTAGGAGAAACTTGGTGTCAGGTGCACTCCTTAACAAAGTAGGACTGAAGCTCACATTTGAAGCAAATAAAGCCGTATTAACTAAAAATAATGTATTCATTGGAAAATGATAGAATGTTGGTGAACTGTTTGTATTAAACATTTATAATATTATTATGAATAAGAATGGTTCTTCTTCTGCTTATATTATTGAATCTTTTGATATTTGGCATGCTAGATTAGGACATCATAGTGTTCCTTATCTAAAATGATTATGCAAGTTAGGGTTTTGAATGTTCCTATTGAATTTATAAGTGAAAAATGCCAAGTATGTGTAGAAGTAAAGTTCACTAAAAAAAATCATAAAAGTGCAAAAAAAAACTAAATTAGTGCAACTTATACACAGTGATATAGGAGATTTTAAGTTTTGTGAAACTAGAGGAGGAAAAACATATTATATAACATCCATAGATGACTTCTCTAGATATGCAAATGTTGTTTTACTTAGATAAAAAAAATGAGGTTGAACGAGCTTTTATAATATACAATATTGAAGTAAAAAATCAGTTAGAAAAGAAAATAAAGAGACTTAGAACAGTATGATAAATAAACCATTAGGAATTTCTTTAAAGAAAATGGAATTATACATGAAACCACAATCCCTTACCAACCTGAATATAGTGAAGTTGCAAAAAGACTTAATAGAACATTAAAGAAAATGATGAATGCTATCTTAATTAATTTAGGTGCACCTTAGAATTTGTGGGAGAAAGCAATCCTAACGACTTGTCACCTGTATAATAGAATACCTCCTAAGAAGAAAATGACAAATACCTTTTGAACTTTGGCATAACAGGAAATCCAATTTAGACTACTTAAAAGTTTAGGGCTACTTAGTAAATGTTGGAATACCTAACCTAAAAGATAGAAATTGAGACAAAAAACTTGTAACTGTGTGTTTATTGCGTATGCACAACATAATGTAACTTATCGGTTCCTTGTAATTAAAACTATTGATAATGTTGTAGAGTACAACACAATGATTGAGTCTCGAGATGCAAAATTCTTTGAGCATATTTTTCCATAGACAAAAGAAACAATAAATAGGGAACATCCCCAAGTGCATAACAGAAACCAAAGAACAAGAGTTAAATGCTCAAGGAATTAATAATTCACTTAGTCAAAGAAACATCAATTTTAGTAATCAGGAATCAGACTTAAGGAAAAGTAAAAGACAAAGGAAGGAAGCAAACCTGGGTGATAGAATATTCACATTTTTAGTGGACAAAGACCCAATAACCAATCAAGGAGCCGTAACTTCCCCTGATGCAGTATTCTAGAAAGAAGTCATAAAAAGTTAAATAGACCAAATCACACTTGTGGAACTTGTATATCTCTTACCTAAAACTAAGGCACTAGACTGTAAGTGGATATTTAAGAAGAAACTAAAACAAATGACACCATAGATAAATTCAAAGTCAGATTAATTTCTAAATGTTTCAAATAAAAACAAAAAGATGTAGATTTTTTTGACACATATTCCTCAGTTGCAAAGTTAACTACCATTAGAATCTTGTTTGTTATATCATCAATTTACAAATTAGTAGTCCATCAAATGGATGTAAAAACAACTTTCTTAAATGGGGAATTAGAGGAAAAAATATATGATGCAACACAATCTGGCAAATCACCCTCCATCAATATACATTAGGCAACCTGAAGGTTTTATAGTATCAGGACAAGAGAAAAAAGATTGATGCAACAAAACTCTTTCATGTTTTTCCTTTGACATTTATTTAATAAAAAAATAAAACACTACAAAAATTTGTCATTTCAACCATCACTAGGAAAAGAAAATGGAAGATAAAGTTTCAAGATATGCAGTTGGAGGAGAGAAAGGGGGGGTCAATGGGTGTCGTTTTCCAAAATCCAAAGAATTCAAGATAAGATCTTGTGGAAAAGAACTACGATTTTGTAGCATAAATACTAATCATCAACAGTTCTTTTTTTTTTTCTGTTTTACATTGTTTGGCAAAACCGCTACCCACGGGCACTTGCACAAAGAATAAAGTGACACCACGTTTCAACTCGATTTGAGGAGAATAGTGTTCGATACGTTTGGTTTGAATGTCTTCCTCGGGACTTCATGGTGCTTAAGTGAACTACCCATAACCAAAATCTTCAAAACCATCAAGAGTAGGCGCATGCATTGCTTAGGAGGACTTTGGCATAAATATAAATATTCCATACAAAATTTAACCAATACCTTGAATACCAAGGAAATAGAATTAGCCACGTTTTAGGAATGACTACCTCTAAGGTTAGATGTAAGCTTCTTCTTCTTTCTTTGTTTCACAAGTATTAAGAATAAGTAAAACAATGTTTTCGACATGCAGTTGAACTGGTCGATTGAACCATTAAAGCTATCATTCAATCAAGATTCTGGAGCCAGTTTTAGCACATCTAGAAAATTGGACAAATTTTGTTTTACTTCATCAAAAATCATTTGACTTAGGCAAGTGGACCATTCATCCATTCGACCCACCATAGATTGTATGTAAACATTGAGAGGTCATAATTTTGCACTCTAAATGTTTAATTGGGGTGATTTTTTTTCTTTATTTTAGGTAAATTTTTCAAGATCTCTCTGCCCTTGTAAATTTCAAAAAAAAAAAACTCTTTTTGACTTCAAATCTTAATTTTTAATATTTTTATAAATAAAAAATAATAATTATTAAATTAAAAAACATAAATTAGATATATAATATTTAATTTTTAAGACGTTGTAGTAAATTAGGAGAAGTTCATTGCTCTCGTTAAGACCTAGGAAAAGCAGCGCAGTTACACTCTAGCCCATAGGGAGGGAGAACATTTTCTTCGACTGTGTGCATGTAGGCTCAATGAAATATGAATGAGATACCTTGAATTTATTACAAATGCTGGCATGCACATGAGAGATTTCTGGATTGTTCTAAAGGCAAGGTTGCACGACAGCACAAGGCTTGTCGCAACATAACAACTAAGGCCATGTTTGGTTCAAATTCTTATTCTTTCTCATTCTTACCCAAGATGAAATTCTAAAATGGAAAAGAATGGGTAAAAATAGGCAGATTGAGAAAATATTGCTATGAACCCAACACTTTTTTCCTAAAAATGAATTCTTTTCAGACTAACAAGTGTCCTATGTTACTCATTTTCATTCTTTAAAAAAAATAAAAAGTGTCGATATTCACAAACTGCCAACCTAGGTCTCCAATAACAATGTTTACCAATTGGCATAGATGTTTTGTAAAAGTACTTTTGTAAAAGTGCTTTTGTAAAAGTACTTCTATAAAAGTACTTTTGTAAAAGTGTTTTTGTAAAAGTGCTTTTGTAAAAGTACTTACATAAAAGTGCTTTTATAAAAGCACTTTCATAAACGTGCTTTTATAAAAGTTCTTCCATAAAAGTGTTTTTATAAAAGTACTTTCGTAAAGGTGATTTTATAAAAGTGCTTTTGTAAAAGTACTTTGTAAAAATACTTCCATAAAAGTACTTTTATAAGTGTTTTTTGTAAAAATGCTTTTAGAAAAGACTTGTAAAAATGCTTTCGTAAAAGTACTTTCGTAAGTGCTTTTGTAAAAGTACAAAGTGCTTTTATAAAAGTACTATAAAAGTGCTTTTGTAAAAGTACTTCCATAAAAGTGCTTTCATGTAAAAGTACTTTCGTAAAAGTGCTTTCATGTAAAAGTAGTTTTATAAAAGTGCTTTCATAAAAGTACTTTTGTAAAGTGCTTTCGCAAAAGTAAACATCTATGACAACCATTTTATAGGAAGAGTTTCTCCAAAGAATGAAATGTGCAAGATGAGACATGATTATTTTTCATGTTGCAGGCTAATTAATTTTTGTGTTATGAAGCTAATTTTTCATTCTAAAAAGAATGTAGCCATTGGCAAGAACTTTGTAACCTAACACTCAAATGTTATTCATTTTTGCCCATTCTTGCTTAGAATGAGAAATGTTATCAAACCCCATTAAAATTATCATGTACCTTTCCATCTGATGATCTGACCAACCATTTCTTGAGCAGTTGAGCCTCAACTGGATCAAATGGAGAAAAAGTATCTAACTATATGATCCCAATATATGTTTTTGTTGCAAACAGAAATGTAAATCAGATTGGCCCGAGTCAGTATTTTAATCTGCTTCAACCTCATCAACCTTGGCTTCAGGTTGTGTCCATTCAAATTTTGACAAGAGCACAATCCAAGCACACTCAAAATTGCGTCCTTAATGGATAAATTCCTTTTACAATTTATATTGTAAACATTTTCCTCGGTGGGACCTACCCAATGGGTCCTGGTTGATTGAATATCCAATATATAACTAGTTATGAAATCCGCAGACCGCAATTACAATTTACAAGTCCTGTGGTCCCAGACTAAGACTACCCCGCTGCAAGTATCACTTGGTTGCTTTCTGGAAAAGTAATTTCTTTATTACAACTTGGGCCGGCTTTGAGCTTTTCTGAGTAGGGTTATGTTTGGTAAGGGTTTAACAAGTGAATGCATATTTCCTCAAATGGAAGGATGCAAACATTGTTTGAATGCAAAGATAGTTGAAGAAGACAAATTTACTTTCATGTCAGAACAAAGAGGTATTCCTAATTTCCTATCAAACACCTGCAAAACCGAACCAATTTACACTTTTACCAAATATATCAATAGTTGCAAAAATTCAGTGATTCAGCGTTAGAGAACATCTAGGTCAAAATTCATCTTGGACAAAGCCATTGCAGCAGATTAATTTGATGTATTTATTTGACTCCAAAATTCAAATTGTCAAAACAAAGGAATCGAGGTTTTAAAAACCTACCTGGAACCGGAACCATTTTATCCACTGGTTTCTAGGCCGATGGTTCAAGAAGCAAGTTCTTTGAAAGCTCCGAGTTGCCATCTTTCCATGTCATGGTTACTTCTAAGTTTTAACGTGAAAAACCTTCTCCGATGTAACTTAATGCAAAACAATTATTTATTTATTTATTATTTTATTTTCACAAGAGGATCCCCATACCTATAAACCCTCTCCCCCCAGAGTCCGGGTCTGCTCATCACAAAGCACGCCTCACAATGACCTCACAGCATATCCTGGCCGCATATCAAGACATCTCCTGTACTTGTCAGCGTGAGGCACGGTATGTGAGGAGTAGATCCCAATTCCTTCCCCCCAACCCTGTGGAAACGGGATCTGCTCCTCACACATGGGCGCCTCACAGGCACATCCACCATGCATTGGAAACATCTCCCGTGAATAATAACTTATAGGTACAGGAGATGTTCCCTGATAGAATGTACATGTGAGGTTGGTGTGAGGCGCCCTGAGTGAGGAGCAGATCTGGTCTCACCCTGGTGGTAATGGGATTTAGATATTTTCTACCCTGAAAAGAACTTGTACCTGAACCACAACCTTGGTTAAAAAGAGATAAAAAAGGTTACTAACAAATATTCTCAATTATAAATATATTATGGTGCC